GGGATGAGATGCCAACTAGCACCCAGTGCTAACGAAGCCACATGGCACACGGAGGCCCCGCAGTGGCAATAAAGCACCCGAGTCGCAGCAGCATAACTGGGGTGGGGGGGCAAGATGGTTTGGGCTGGGAAGAGGGACACACCAAGCAGGGTGACATCCCCTAACCCCTCTTTTCTCTGGAAATTCAGCAATCCTGGTGTTGAAGGTTAAACTTTTAAGGTTAAACGATGTAGTAATATCATGCTTAGGGCAAAAAAGATGGTTTTTTGTCTATGTTGAAGCCAAAGGCATCCCTAGTCAGAAGAACAAGTCGATAGTGGCCTTTGAGCAAGGACATCCTGGAACAATTAGTCCTTGACGAGGGTAGTTGCCAACTTGGGAAGCAGACTCAAGGTCCATGAATCCTTCACTGATTTACCCTCATTCTGATACTAAAAAAATCCCACCTATAGCTCAAAAAGAGCCTTGCCCAGGTGAAGATCCTTCCCCTAAGCACACGCAGCAGTAGAAGTATTGTCAGCTATATTATAATTGTGTGTTAATCACTAACTAACCATCACAGGAAGGATGGACTTGGAAAATTACTAACTCCGGGAGTTTTGTGTATAAATATAGTGGGAAAAGTCCTGGTGGTGTGCTTGATTTGGAGGAAACCACCGAGTCTGCGGGCTCGCGCAACCCTAAAAATAAATAAGCAGTGTCTCTCCTGCGTGTGGCATTACTGACCTACTGAAAACCAGGCGACCCATCTCCTTTTTAGACAACACTGGGAGCTGGTAGATGTGAGAAAATCCGGAGCTTTTCCAGAGCTGCTGGCAGTTTATTTATCGCACAGGGTGTGTAACTCAAGGGTGAGATGCGCCTGGAGATGGAAACACCTGGAAAAGCTTCACAGCGCGGCCTGGGAACGGGCACTCCAGCTGCTGACCTGTAAAAGCTCCTTTTCTCCAGCTCAGCGTGAGCCCCCCACACCCCATCCCTGCGGTACCTGAATATTCCAGGGCTGATCCGGCTTCTCTCCTGCCCTGCGGGGCTGGGCTGGTCTCCCCAGGACCCAGAGACATCAGGAGACCCAGGCAAGGGCCCAGAGAAAGGGCAGTGCCTCCGGCAGCGCTTCCTGGGGTCTTCACGCCGTCGGTGGGAGCAGCTGAGGGCAGCCAGACCCTTGGTTAGGAAGCTAAACAAAGGAGGAATTAAATACATTAAAAATAACATCTGGAAGCACAACCAACGGAAACCATCGTCCATAAAACCACCTGGTTTGGGTTTCACTCCGCTCAGCTCTTTGCCCACAGGACAGGAGCTTCCCGGGCGCTGGCGGTGCCGGCTGGGACAAGGACCAGGAGGCCAAAATGTGCGGAGAAACAGAAATTAGGGTTGACCCCCCCTCCATTCCCACCCCAATACGGACTCACACGACCCCTCTCGCTCAGCAGGGAAAGCTGTCAAAGTGCCAAACACCAGCCGAAGCCCAGAACAACTCAAAACCCCCTCAGAATGGAGAATTAATGCAGTGGGACCAGGCTCAAGGTTAAGGCCCACACCCCCCCAGTAAGATTAGTCCCCAAATGTCACAGCAAAGAGATCAGCTGGAGGCCACTCAACCCTCGCTGCCATCAAAAACCACTTGACTGGAAATAAAGCAGCAGCACCACAGGCTGCTACGCCGTCAGGATCAAGCCTCAAAATTCCACCCGTCCCCTCTTCCTGAGCTTGGATAAATGTGGGAAAGATCAGTGCCGAGTCACCACCAGCCCCCAGAGCACTGACAGGCACCATTTTCTCCCTCCAACACCCTGTATCTGAGGATGTGCTGGACCAATTGGCTGCACAAGGGGGATACAGAGTGATTTCAGTGCTTTAATTAGCAGTAACTTTAATGAAGCCTTTAACACAATTCTCGTTTCAGACACGCTCGCTGGGTGGCCGACAGCAAACACCCGAAATGGTGTTAATTTATTCCC